CAAAGATTATTTTTAATTAGTTTTCAAGTCTTCGGAATTCCTTCTTATTCATGTGGTGTTTTCACTATTAAAAAAAGGATGAAGCTGAGTGATTTTCATTTGTTAGGGGAGGCAATATTGAGGTCAGTTCGAATTTGATAAAATTGAGTCGTGATTCAACTCGATTCAACTCGACTCGTTTGCTGTGCTAGTTTAGATGGTGCAAGTGTGAGTTATTCTTGCGACCAACTTAATGGCTTCTGTTTCTAATCATTAGCCCAAGTTAAATGAGATGTAATGTTAAGGGTCCCTTTAATTATTGGACAAGGTATGCAGCTTAAACAAATTTATCATGTAGTAGCGTTGATAAATGACCCCTCCATTTTCATGGTTGAAGGTCGAAAACTGTAATCAATCCGGATTCAATCCAGAAGAAGAAGATACAAATGATGCTGGGATACCTTCCCAAGAAATTGTTTACATACACACTTAACTTATTTAGCTAAGCAATGAGCAACTCAATTTGTCTATTCCTAAAACCAATCAAAATGCTTTTCTGATAATATGCAAATTTTCTCATGGTATGATGGGAGGGATTATAAATAGAGTAAATCTTAAATACATTAACAGTGTATATACTATTATCGTTAGATTCATGACATGTGTGTAAAAATTGAATTTTAAATTCAAAATTTGCATAATTGTCATCCATTCAACACTGACAGTGGTATAAAAAAGATTAATCCTTATAAATAGATAATTTTGGATTAAAAAAAAATTCTTGTGTCAAGAGGCGGCTCAGTAATAGGCTAACAGCAGTACCTCATTTAAAACTAATAATCCTATCGGACTGAGACTTTTAGACTAAGTAGCTTCTTTTGCTGCCAAAATTTGGGCCAACGGAGGATTTGTAATGAACTTAATTAATTATGGTACCATAAAAACAAAAAGACCGAAGGTAATTAAAATTGAGCACAGGCCAAGTCAAATTTTACTGCCTTCCCCACTCGTCCTCGGGCATGCGATCCCTTTGAATTGCCTTGTGAAAAGCCTCCAAAAAATTTCAATTATAGATTAAAACTCATTGTTGGATCAAAATATACTTCAAACATTTCAATGAAAAAGCTAATGGGTTTGTCTACAAGAAATTGACAAAATATTTTCAAAAAAAAGTTTGAAGAAGTGAAAATATTGACGAAGCTATATCATAAAAATTCAAAAAAAATCCTCAAATTAATAAGACAAAAAATAGGTAAAGGGGAAAAAGTTTATAGTAGTAATAGTTTAGAGGAACCTTAGGTAATTTACCAAAAGTGTAATCGACTAATTTATACCCCTTTCCTCAAAAAAAAGAAAAGACTAATTTATACACTTCGGTAGCTGCCAAATAGAGCGCAAAAATTTGCTATACGATATTTACATCCTATATTTTATTATACCCAAAAAGTCATGAAGAAAAAGAAAATCGAAAAAAATTGACATATGAATGACCACTTAACTTTTGCATACTTTTGCAAGAAATTAAAAAACTTTTTTCTTGGTATAATAATTTTTCTTGAAAAAACTTTTGTATTCTTTTCCTTGACAAAAATGACTCTGGCAACATAATATGAGATGCTGCAAGTTAAATACAGGATAACTTGGAACACTGCTTAATAGTAAGTTTACAATCAGTTGCTATGCCAAGGCAATATTATGGCATGGGAAAATTGTTCAAAATGTCCATCACATTTTACAAGATGATTTTTTTCGTCCCTTACTTTTAAAAGTGTAATTTTACATCCCTTACAAATTCACATTGATCAAATTTAGTCCCTACTTAGGTTTTCGACTAATTTTTAACCGGAATCTACCATGTACCTTGCATGTGATCATTTTTTAAGAGCAAAATTATCAAATCAAATTTTACATAATCCTATTCATAATCCCTCATATTTCGCAAAATGAATTTTTTCGTCCATAACATTTTACAAAATAAATTATTTCATCCCTTACATTTCACAAAATTAATTTTTTCATCCCTCATATTTTTCAAAATGAATTTTTTCATCTCTCATTGATCATGTGTACGAATAGTTTTTTTTTTTAAATCCATGTATATATCTATTTGATTTTACATGAACAGTACGAATAGTATAAAATATATATTTATTTGATTTCATTTAAACAGGTTAATCGTAATTGTACATATGCTATTCAACATATATATACAGGGGTTTAAAACTAATAATTTTGTTTTAAACCATATATATATATATATATATATATATATATATATATATATATATTTCTAGATGATTTCACCATATGAACCTATTCAATATTTGTGACCTTTCTCTTTTGGTAATAATTTATTTATTGAGTTGTATAATAACGCCATCTAATTAATGGATCCTAACTTAAATTCTATAGTCGTGCTAATAAATTGTAATTTAAATTTGAAATTTCTACTCACCACTTTTAAGACCATCAGTTGAATTATTTGCCTTATGATTGTCTTCAAATTTGAAAGTGCCAAGCACTTACTTTTTTTTATCATACTTTTCCTTTGTTTATTTTTTTTGTCCAAATTTAATTCGATATAAACGCTCGCTAATGTTTAGGATTAAATGTCTTCTTTGTTTTCAATTTTCGAGTAATGAAATGAATATAAGTGAAAAACTAATAATTTTTTTAAAAATCCATGTATATATCTATTTGATTTCACCTGAATAATATGAATAGCATATAATATATCTCTATTTGATTTCAAATAAAGATATAGTATGTGTTATCCATGTATATAGTATGTGTAATTTAAATTTGAAATTTCTACTCACCACTTTTAAGACCATCAGTTGAATTATTTGCCTTATGATTGTCTTCAAATTTGAAAGTGCCAAGCACTTACTGTTTTTTTATCATACTTTTCCTTTGTTTATTTTTTCTGTCCAGATTTAATTCGATATAAACGCTCGCTAATGTTTAGGATTAAATGTCTTCTTTGTTTTCAATTTTCGAGTAACGAAATGAATATAAGTGAAAAACTAATAATTTTTTTAAAAATCCATGTATATATCTATTTGATTTCACCTGAATAATATGAATAGCATATAATATATCTCTATTTGATTTCAAATAAAGATATAGTATGTGTTATTCGTACTATTTAGGTGAAATCAAACATATATATACATGTGTTTAAAAAAATTATTCGCACACATGATCAATAGGAATGAAAAAATCCAATTTGAAAAATGTGAACGATGAAAAAATTCATTTTGTGAAATGTGAAGGATTATAAATCGAATTATGTAAAATTTGATTTGACAATTTTGCTCTTAAAAAATGATCACATGCAAGGCACGTGGTGGATTCCAATAAAAAATTAGTCGGAAACCTAGATAGAGATCAAATATGACCAATGTAACTTTATAAGGGACGTAAAATTACACTTTTAAAAGTGAGGGACGAAAAAAGTTATTTTGTAAAATGTAAAGGACGTTTTAAACGATTTTCCCTTATGGCATATTCACCAAATTACAAACACAATTATTAGTTTACAGAAACATGCAAAATAAATAGGTTATACGTGCAAAATTGGGCTGAAAGATAGATAGACCTAACTTGGTATTCTACGATCTATACCGAAAATTTTGGATTAAAAATTTAAGAGTTAAGTATAAACTTTTTTAGGATTAGTGTCACTTACTGCTATTAAAAAGTGGTTGAAAACCAAAATTTGAATCTTTAAACTGAGAGAGAAAAAAATCCCTCTATTCGACTTTGATAGTTTTATTTTCCTTTTTCATCCGTTCCAAACTATAGTTCACTTTTCAATTGAAGAATATAATTAATTTGTAATTTCTCTAAAAATACCCTTATTTAATGTACTTTATTATCAGTTATAATTTACTTTATTCATTAATTGTTTGGATTTATTCCTTGAATGGTGCAACTTTCCATTGTGTTATTGTTGTAATTAATGTATAGGTATAGTTATTAGTCATACTTCTAATACTAATGTAAGAGTATTTTATGAAACTAGTAAGCTAAATTTACTCTTCCAACAAAGTTAATTAATTTTTTTTAATTGTGTGAAAAAACCAATACTATCAAAATGAGAGGAAGGAGTATAAATTGTGGTTCTTCAATCGAACTCCATCCATATTTTAAAATATGCATTTATGCCTCTGACTGACCCATCAAATATCAAAATTTGGATGAAGTTTAGGAATGGCAACGAGGTGAGGGACCTCTCCCTAGCCCCCTGCGTGGGGCACCTACAGGATTTATAAAAAATTTTCATATAATTTAATTGTAGTCAAATTTTAGCAAATAATTAAGTACTAAAATATCAACACATTACCAAGTCATTATCCATTGTAATTTTACAATTGAAATCCATAAAAATAATCAAACAAAAACTATTTGAATACAATCCAACATGATGAAATAAATACAACTAAAGTAATTAAGTTTTCACTTTTGAAATAAATACAATCACTAAGTTATTATTGTATTTTTTTGAGAAAAAGTATTATTGTGTTAAGTATAATTAGGAATTTAGTATAAATGTATTAGTTAATTTAGTATAACTAATTAATAATTTCTATTAATAGACATGTATAATTATTAGTATAATTGATAATATCAATTATATTATATTACATATATTAATATACATTATATAATACTTATAACTAATGATATCATTATTATAAGTTTATAATTAATTAAATTAAATATTTTATATATATATATATATACACACACACTCCCCTGCCTCCCACCCCGTTTCTTAACAGGGAAAAAATTCCCCCCCTCCCCTCCACCCCAACCCCCATTCCATTAGTCCATGAGCACCCGCCTTAATTGCCATCCCTAATGAAGTTGGATGGAAGGACCAAATTAGAACAATTGTTTCAATTTGGATAAAATCAGAACGTTTCTAATTTAGAGGGCCAAAATTTGATTTTTACATACTTTAGAGGGTCGGATTGGCATAAACGTTCCACCAAAAAACCCCTATTTCTCGGGTTGGAACTGGAAACAGAGAGATTCTGCAACTCTAATAAACTGGCTTGATAACTCTCTATTTGAAAAAAAAAAAAAAGTAATCAAGATGAGGAAAAATAAGCAAGATGAACTGTGGGACGATTCTGCCCTGATTAACGCCTTCAATGATGCCATCTCCAAGTACAAGGTTTGTCAACTCCTCTTCCTCCTTTAAACCTTTCTGGGTTTTGTTCTTTCTGCACCAATATTCTTTTGTTTGTCTTTTGGAACTCAGTTTTTTTTTTTTGTTTTTTTTGGATAACTATACCTATAGTAAAAGAAAAGAAAGGAGTCAAGGAGCTTTAACTTTTGTTTTCGATAGTGTACTGAAATACTTCATTTTCATTAGGTGGTTCAGTGGTTGTTTTTGAGACAGATTTGTTGATTTATCATAATCATATATTCATGCTCATGTTTCTTTCAATCTTGATGATTTCCAGAAAATGCATATTCAAGGAAGCCAAGTCAGCTCAGCTGATGGTCAAGAACATGCTGGAAGGTGTGTTCATAACTAACTGGAAAGCAATCCCTTTTCTTACTCTTATTTGTCTCATTTTTCGTTTATTTTGTCTAGGGGTTAGGGAAACTTGGTGGCCTGTGTAGAACGCAGTACTAGAATTAGGATGGGGGAGGGTTTCTTCTGTCTGGTCAAAGATTCATAAAGGGGAGAAAATAGTTGGAGTTTTAACAATTAACGTGAATGAGAATTGGACGGCTTCTTCACACTTTGTATCATGAACCAAGACTGAACCAAAATGAATTTCATTTAGGAAGAGTTATTGGCATATACTCGTAATGTGTGATAGGCAAATAAAAACTGTAGTGACAGGAGTTTGGCAACTATAACCGTTGAGCCAATCTTTTTTTGTGTGTCTGTATGGTGCTTGATTGTTGATATTTTTCATGTTTTGCGGAAGAACTCCAATGTATTTGTAATTGTTGGGCTGATAATCTTCATCATAAGTCTGATTTCTTCTTCTTTATTGATGAAGGGTTGATGAGATAAGTGATGACAACAAGGTTCCATCAAACAGCGCTGCTGAAACAGAAGAAAATGGTAATGTGCCAACTGTCAAAGAATCATCTTTTTTGGAATCAGAAGCTCCTGAAGACCATGTAGTTTCATCTACTGGGCAAGACATCCATCAAGAGCCTGAGGGTTATCTAAACTTGCAGACGACTGAACACTACAATCAGTTGGTAAACAAATATTATGAGCTTGAGGATCAGAGGCAAAAGATTCTGCAGCAACTTAACCAGTTTGGTTATTGGAATTATGATTCTGGTTTAACTGCTTCCGTGTCTCAAGAGCCTGAAACCTCTACTTCCCAAGCTTATCCAACAGTTCCAAGTTCTTTCTGTCCTTATGGGTGTCAAAGTTGGGTAGCTCCATGCACTTCAGTACCTTGTTATTTCTCTGGTGGAGCTTGTGCTGGAAACTCTTGCAATGCTTCTGCAAAAGGTGCTACTTCTAAAAACTTAACATCTCCAGGAGAAACTGATTTTGTTAAAACAGCAATGTTTGCTGCAGAACAAGCACTGTCTTCCTTGAAGGCACAAGCTTGCACTAATTGTGATGCTTCTGTAAATGAAGGTAAAGATGGCTTTCTTGCTTATAACCTCAAACAATGTATATACCACCCTCTTTGGGCACAAACCTGCATCACCATGACATGAATGTTAGAGAAATATAACTCAAATGTTCTTGTAGTTAACATGGCATGTATCAGCAATGTCCTCAATTGTCAAATCTGCTGTGTTTAGTAATCTAATGAGCATTGTTGCTCTGCTCCTGATGGGTCCACTGGGTTGGGACAAGGGGGAAACGAAGGACTGATGGTTCTAAAAAGTACTACTGAATATACCGGTATATCATCTCTATTTAATTGGTGGTAACTTGATACTTACATATTGTAGAAATACAAATAGTCCACAAAGCCTGAAGATAAAATCAACAAAAAGGAGGCAATGGGATTCTTCAAAATTTTTGCGGGCTGTGGATCTTCGTCTTGCTTCTGTATCAGATATTTGCTGATTAGGCTGATTTTGGAGCGTCTAGTTGAACTACTGTATTACAGCATTAAGATTTAATTAATAGCTTTTAGCTATCATGTCATGGTATGTTCGATGATGAATCAAGTTTCTGCATATGGCTTAATAAACACAGAAGTGATTGTTGTAGTTGCCTTATTGAACAACTGATTGCTATTTACTCTCGCAATAGTCAAACCCTTACTGATGCATATTGCCAAATCATAATAAACATTGCATTTGGTTTAGCTTTTCTCGTAATAAGTTATTACACAAATTGACATTATCAAGTAGTTTTAGGATGACTGGCAGACTTTTTGGACATTAGCAAACCGCAATGTCAGAACTAAATATTGTACGTCTATTCAGCACACTAGATTTTTCATAATTCTTTTCCTTTTCTACTCTTTGGAGATTACGATGTGAAAAGTTTTTGGGCTTTTATCTTTAATTGTTAGGCAGTTTTGAGCTTGAATTATTGCTTTATAATTAGTGCTATAAAGTAACCTTTTCCGACATTTGTATTCACTGATAAATTTACTGGGAGAAAAGATTTTACAGTGACCAATGTACTGATCCTTAATCTGTAGAACAGAATGTTTGTTTCTTCTAAGATAATTTTTACTGGACTTCAAAGTAGAACAACATGACACTACATCTCTTATTGGTGCAAAATTCTTCATCTTGTGATAGTTGTCTAAGATATAATTATCCTATGTATTTGACTACTGTGTTTTAATATTTGCAAGTTTGACATATACGTAGGTTGCTATGCCTGCACCTTGCGGATTTATGTTATTCAATTATTTAGTATGTTGGTGCCATAATATGGTGAAACAATCATATTTTGGATCTACATCTGAGGACTTTACTCATTACTGCCTCCTCTACTTTTGTAATTGAATTGCAGGGAAAGAGAAACAGTCACAGAAAAATTTCTGTCATTTAGAGAAAAGTACCAGTTCGGAAACAGATCTTACTGTTGTTTTGAATGCTTGGTATTCTGCTGGTTTCTACACTGGCAAGTAAGTATGGAAGAGTCTCCTGTTTCGATACCTTAAATTATGCTGCATTCAGAGAGAAATAATTCTAAACCTGATATTGGCACTTAAAATCAATTGTGACAAATTATATTCTTGTTTTGGTTTGAAGTAAGCTCTTGTGGTGGTCTAGTTCACTTGGAAGTTGCACTCAGCGAAAAAAAATAACATACAAAGCTAACTTCATGTTGGGGTCACCTCGACAAAATCCCATAGGAAATAGTGCTCATTACCAGAATAGCACAAAAATGGAACTTGATAACTCTGCTAAGTGATTACAATATCTGCACAAGAGGCTTATCAGCAGGCGATAAAATCTGTTAAAACATTTTTTAGATGTATCTCTGGAACTTACAGCTTGGTTCCCAAGGTAGGTACATGACTAGCTTATCTGCTTTGTCTCATGTTGGGTCTGGCTCTTTGAGGGTAACACTGAGACTACAATCTGAAATCTGCATCTAAACTCCTTTGGGTTTCTTCCATGAAATTGTTGTTTTTATTTTTTTTAATCAAATTTCAAAAATTATTGCACCTTTATTTTGCCTTCCAAAACAATGGAAGTCGACTTAAAGGAAATAACCACGTTGTTCACTGTTTTGCCTCTCATTCTTGCTTTGTGCTTTTTAATTTGACTTCTCCTCCTCCTCTCTCTCTCTCTTCCCTTCCTCCCAGCATCTATGTCTTGGACATCAACCATTTTCCTTCAGCATCTATCTCCTCCAACAACAACCAGTTTAAGATGCACAGACATAGTCTAAAGCCTCCCTGACACCATTTTATGATTAAAGATCCAAACACGAACAACACATGCAAATAACATGAAGTAAAATATTTTAACCGCTTAAAAAGCTGAACTCCAACACAAATGACATCCAGTTGCCCAGATGATGAAGTAAAATATTTTAACCTTTCTAACCTGAAGTTGTGGGCAACCAATTTTAAGATTAAAAAATTACATTCATCATATGCCTTAAATCAGCAATTTAAATGCAACCCACATAGTTGAGTATCTTCATTATATATTTGAACTTTTTCTAGAAACCTCCATCCAAATCAGTGGGATTATGGGAGTGTTCTTTCATTCTCTTCAAGTGCAGAGGGGCTTGAGGGTGAACAAACGTGAGTTGCTGCCGCGGTAGCAATGGTAGTTGCTGTCACAGAAGAAATGTTAGTTGCTGCCGCATTTTGAAGGGAGGCGTTGGGAGGTCTCTCTGAGCGGTGTTGGTGGTTTTGCCGGGGATTGCCATTGAAGTATTAAAAGGAGCATGATGAGGGAGAGATCATATAGTGAGGATTATTGGTGGTTTCACTCTAAAGTCTATGTTCTGATTATCGACTTCAAAGTTGTTATGGTTGAAGTTGATTTTCAAGATATCGACTTCTATAATTTTGGTAATTGCAAAAGCCCAATATTTCTTTAAATTGATTAAAAAATATCTATGTAAATACTCCCATTACATGTTGATACTAATCATCCCTTCCCTCTGAGGGTTTATCTTCCATGGTTGACTTCTGTATTGCTAGCCCATTTTTTTTCCAAATATTATCAGTTGTAATGTTGTTATTTCAGTTCATGATAAATTTGATGTCTTCGATCTAATAACACTTCCACATTGTGATCCAGGTATCTTACCGAGCAGTCTTCTGCTAGGCACGGACATGGCTAAGCCTCGCATGTTTCAGCTAAGAAAAATTGAAATTTCAAGTAACTCGCATCCATGATGCGTCCGAAGAAGATCTTGCTCTACGAACATCTAATGGCAAACGAGAAGTGGTATTATGGTACCCATGCTATGACCAGGCAGCAATGCCATGGACTCTTTTGTTAGACAGCTATGTGTGTGTTGCCTGAATTGGTTTCACCTTTTTAGTTTCTTCTTCTCTGTACCAAGGGATGTTTGAGTATGTATCAACGGATCCTTGTAAAGTGGCAATATTGGCCATTGGCATCTTATAAGAAAGCTAATATTCGGTACGTAGAAAAATTGTCGTACTACAATTGCGAATCTGGTAGCGAAGATAACGAGCTAAGCAACTTTCCGCCGGTAGTAATTTGATGCCACAAGCCAAATCTAACAAAAACTGCTCTTCCGAAGGACTTGAGAACAACGTTGCCAGCCAAGCTCAACGAGTTGGAGTTGGAGTTGGAACTCGTACAAAATCTCTCTTTTTCAGTTAATGCTGATCTGAGACTTTGTTCTGACAGGCATTTAAATGGCTGAACCTACTCCTAGCACCAAAGTCATAGCTTGGAAATCAACAGAATGATAGGGTTGCCGTCCAAATTCTCTTATAAGTTAAAAAGTTCGACATAAAAATGAGAGAGCTCAGGCCAGAAGCGCAGAAATTGTAACTGTTGGTGCTATATTTGATTCAGCTGACAGTGCCATGTCTGATCCAGCAGCGATTCGAAATAAAAATGTCGCGTTTCTTTTGCTAACATATAATTCTCTCTAAGCGTAGAAGACAAAGTAAGAAACGTTGCAAGAAGAAACAGTAACATACTACTTGAATTGCAGCAATTCAAGGATTCTTGGAAGTATGGTGAATCATGTATCAGGATATTTTTCAGCTTCTAATGGCAGCCGCTGCTTCCTTTATCTGCTCAATAGTGAATACTCCAAAAAAGTCATCATCTCCGATAGCATTTATCACTGCATAGGCGACATCATCTACACTGACTGGTGGAGCCAAGAGCAAATCAGAGCCAGGCAGAGAGCTCAAAGGCTTAATAAAGTTTTCCGTAGCACTCAGAAAATTGTCAAGTGGTTTCCCTATAAAATCTAGAGGTATCTCAAGGCCATCAACCTTCCTCTTTCCATAGATGAAAGCAGGTCTCAACACAACACCTGTTGCACTCAAATCTAAGATAATGAATACCATTCTTGGAACACATTCTGCTGGCTATATTATTTTTGTCAAGTTGTTGATGCTTGGACTAATGTGACGGAGAAGTATCTGAGTTTCAAAAACGAAGAAGGGGTGGATAGAAGTACCTGAGTTTGGATACTTTGAGAGAACCTCAGACTCCGCTTTCCTCTTTCCAGTGAAGTATCCCGAATTAAGTAGGAAGGATGGCAGATTATAATCATGCACCGATATTAAGATGAACTTAGAGATCCCTGCAATTGACAGAGGAAAGGAAGAATCGTTGTTGCAAATGGGAGAAAACCGTCCAAATCATGTTCCATTATAAATTAGCTGAAGACAGACACTTGCATGTAATACATATATATTTTTTATAGAATATACGAATGACAAACATCGAGAGGGCTCGTTGGCATAGGTGTTATCAATTTTTTTGAGGTTTCACCCCATTAGGTTTTCAGTCAAAATAGATAATGTCTTCATACAGCGCATTGTTTGATTTTTCCTTCATATTTGCGGTTTTTTGGTTTCCTCAACATGTGCTTCATATGTCTTATGGTTGTAACACAAATTGACATACACAATAAACAGGCATTTGGCAACAATCTGTGGAGCATCATGCAAGCAAGCATGAAAGAGAAAATCTTATACTTTAGCTTTCCAAGATTCATTACAATCCCAGCTGTGTATGTGAATACATTTAGTTTCTTAGGATGAAAAAGATGATGCTAGGCCAAATAATCCTCATCGTAACTGTAAACATCCTCACTCGTATTCACTAAGGTCCAGCCAAAATTGATGCTTGCAATCATAAATATACAACCTTCTCTTAACAAATCAATGCTGTATGATTTACATAGTGCGGATACCGTCTTAAATTGATTAAGTATGACATGTACAAAAGCTCCAGCTCTTAGAAAGAAGTAAATTCTTCTATCTGTAGGCTCTAAGGGATGCCACCTGACACATAACCTGAACTTATTTTTATCACTTTATGGGCCATGCATGTGCAAGGTTTGTGACCTCTCACTGAGTTGAACCTATGATCAAACTTTATTTTGTGTTATGTATAATTTTTCTGGAAAGATGTTAGTGACTACTTTCTGAAGTTTTTATCTTTGTTTATCATCAACATACTCAAACATTAGTAATAAATCAGCATGTGCTGACACAACACAAGCAATAGTAGCATTGCTGGCAGATGATGCAAATGCAAAGGTTTGGGATCAATCTTGGTTTTTTGATGTGAAGTTGTTGACGATGCATTGCATATTTGCCAGTTTGATGCGTAAAGCCTCTTGCAGTTGATAACTAGTTTTCAACTAATCTGGGCAGCAGTAAGTAGTTTAAAACTGAAGTATTTATGACAAATAACCGCAATAAAATTAGCATTGATAGAGTTTTGATTATTGATAACATGCATTTTGGGAGAAAAATGTCTAGCCCATGTATTATGAGTGACCAACTAGTATTAATAGTAGTACAAACCTAACAATCTATTTACAAAAATACCCTTACTAATTTATTATCTATAAGAGTACTTATATTCTCTTAACAATTATTATCAACAGAAAGAATGATGAACATAATACTTAGCTAAATTTGAAAGAAAAAGCATTTGATCCATTTACATTACGATTGCAAACTCATAAGCAAAACAATTCGCAAGTCTTACCAAAATCTTTAGCAGCATTAACTGCCACGACATTAGCCTCGCCATTAATTCTTAGCATTTGTTCCTCACTGCCAAAGCCACCAAGAGTTGAAACAACTGCAGTGGCCCCAACAAACACTTCATCCCAGTTAACATAAAAAACATCCCCTGCAGGAAGAAGAATGACTAAAACAATCTGCCCATGTGGGTGAAAGTACCAGTCATAGAGCTGAAATAAGGCCTCCAGAGAAAAATTAAAACCCAAAATCCCAAAAGAGATCTGCATTTAAAGTTAACAGCAGAAGAGTTTCAAGTTCATGTCATAAAGCATCCGTGCTTTAGCTGAATAACTAGTTTCGTTTATCTTTCCTTGCCCATTGACTGTAGCATGGAATGAAGCCCAGAGTCAGAAAAAGTTGGCATTGCATTAACAAAGTAGGTCATCATGTTCCATAACATCAACTGAAAATTTGTACTTTAGTCTAAATCCCCAAGGCAATGGGACCAGAAACACAATGGGCATTCCTATAAGTGTAGACCTCCTTTTTCTACAGATTTACACAGTCGAAGGGTTCTTGGCTCCATACCACATATTCTGCAGAGGATGCCTATTCTTGGTTTCCATTTCCTATGGACAAAGATAATCCAAGAAATACATGCAGCAAGCATACATACACAATCTGTAAGGAGTATAAGAATGAGTTGTTACATTATCTGCAGCAAATCATCCGATAAAAGTAGCAGTCAACTTACAGGAGTCTAATGGTATTACAAAATTCCTAGTTTTGAGTTCTTTCCAGTACCATAAGAAGGTATATTAGGGGACCACAGAAACAAAGGTTATACTAATCAAGGTAAAGGTAAGGCTAAATACTACGAACTGCGTAAAATGGCCAGTAAATTTGGAACCCTTTTACTTCCAGTCAAGTTACAAAAAGATAAGCCACAAAATGGAAAGCCTAGATGAGGTATGATAGAGACCTGCCTGACTTCCATGTGACCTGATCTACCCATGAATCTGTGTAAGAAGGACGTCCTGACCTGCAAAATTTTTTTTTTCTTTTTCAAAATCCAGTACATGATAGCCCATGGTGTCCAAGAGAGGAACAAATTGATTATGAAAACCCAAAAGTCATGCAATTTAACTGCAGAAATTGAGTAAATGAACTAGTAAAAGAAATTGAATCAAATTGCCAAATTTTGGATAAACTTACACCTGCTAAGACTTATGACCTCAATACCCTTGGATACAGCAGCTTTGCATATTGCAGAACCAACGAAACCGCTACCTCCTAATACTACAACCTGGTATAATAGAATGCACAATTGATATACTCTATAAAAGGAAACGGAGTTGTAAGAAACTTCATCTGAGACAAAGCAGAAGTCGTTAGTCATACTCGCTCAGTCTTGACATCAGCCACAACATCAATAGTGCCAGGGTTGACATTCTCTTTTATGCCAGCATCTGCATAACTACATCTAATTCCAGCCCTATGTGAACTTCAAAAAAGAACAACAACTAGATGTCAGCATCACCTCAAGCCTCAAATAACTAAAAGACACCAAGAACAGGAATACAAAATACAAAAGGGATAAATCCCCAGTTGGCACACTGTTTGATGAAACGCAAAACTTCCACCCTCCCACCCAGCCACAGAAATATATATGTGCTGATATCAGATAACATCATGTAAATTTGCTTATTGTACACTCAATAACATATAAGGATAAGCAGAGGTCTTCTTTTAACTTAAAAGGCTTTCAAGGTGCATGCCTTTCCAATGAGGTCATAAACTTGTAATCTACAAGTTTTCATTGAGTCGAGCATTTCCCAGTCTGTAGATGTGCGATAATGCCATATTTGCCAACAAAACCAGTCAAATTTGTGTTATTTACTCAAATTTTATCTCTTCTATCAAAAATCAAGAAACTAGTGTCGGTTTCAATGGTTTTTTAAAATTTTATTTAGTTTAAAATGTATATTTCTCCAGCCCTCCACCAAAATTCATCTAACTCTCATTCTGCTCCTTCAAGCTACAGATGATGCTCCTGTCAGTCATAGCACTAACAGTGTTTAATGTGTAAGCACTGCTGGCATTGACTTTGCTAGTCTTTGAATCCCAAATACGAACATCCTTCCCTTTAACTGCATGCTTCCCAACTATACTCACCTTCTTAATTCTCTTAGTCTTGATGAAGGACAGGGAAAATTCACTGAATGGACATGGGTGTTGAAGGATAGAGCCACAAAAACCCCAGACTTCCTCTATAGCCATATTCATAGAAAAACAACCACCTAGTATACTTCGACTTTCAGAAGGGAAGGGAAGACTAAGTAAATCGAAGGAAAAAATCCAAGAAGTTGACTTCTGTATCTCTGGAAGTCCATTAAAATCAACAATATATATATTTTACCTTACAATCAGAAAGGCAATACGTGAGTAAATATCCCTGTCAAATTACGTTCAGGTTGGATACTTCGCATTTATAATAGTCAACTTATTCAAGATCATCCACTTTTCCCTGTACTGAACTTTTCTCCTTACTGCCCTTTTGTAACGTTGCACTTTATGCAAATCCAATACCCTATGAGCTTTCAGCACTGTATACGTAACTTCAAACAAGTTTTTTGTAAGTCTTGGTTAATGCTATAATGGTGCCCTTCATCGTGGACATATAAAGCCATTTCCTTTGGGAGTTTGCTGAAGCTATACAAGTATACAACTCTATTACAAAACAAGGGCAAAACCCAAGCTACCATCCTATCAACCAGAGTTTGTTTGTCCTTTTTATCTTTACCAAACAAACAAAAGGCCTAGATTTATTAATGAGTTTTTGTTTCTGTGAGTTGATCATCTTTAAAAGCTAAAATCCCCAAACAAAAACAAAAGAAAAGGCCAAATCTCTCTATTTTAAAAGGGTCTTGATAGATACACATATCCAACAAGATTTCATACCACAAGGACCCTTTTCTCTCTATTTTAATAACAAACCAAAAAAAAAAAATTACTATTCCAATCACAAGAGCTGATGATAAAATTAACAGTAATACTAATTAAGTGGATTAAAAAAGAAAAAAAAACTTACCCAGAGTGGCAAATGCGGGGAAAATGAGAGGTACGAGAAGTGGGAAGAAGAGCCCTCCTGCTAGCAAGATAAGAAGAGGAAGAAGATGATGGAGCTGTGGATATGGCAGCAGGAGGAGCGTATGAAAGCGACATCATCATTTCTCCCTGTCCAGAAATTGAGGACTCCACTTAGTAGAGAGCAAAGTTTTGGAACCGAGCAAAGAAAGAAAGCTCTGTTAAAAACTGAGATGGGAAATGGGGAAAATGTGTGAATATGTGATTCCTTTGTTGTGAGTGAAAAGAATTGCCAGATTTGGTGGTGTGGTGGTGCGCGTGAATTGTGAAGGCAGTGGCAAAAAGACGCTCCAATTTTTATTTATTTATTTTTTTTTCGACACAGCAGTGTTCGGATCAATCCTTACGGGCCCGACTAATCCCCTGCGATCCGGACCCGACGCCCCAACCCGGCCCGAACGCGTTAAGTGCGCGGAGAAATCCAACGTAGCGGAGACTCGAACTTGTGACCTCAAGGGTCACTGGTGTGAGGCGCTACCGCTGGACCATTCACGCGGGGGCCAATTAGTTGTACAATTGTTATGACTTGTAAAGGCGTCGGAGCCATGTTCTTCTGTTTCACCATTTTGATTGTGTAGGGGTAAAATTTTCAAGTATCAAGGCTACTATTTGGTGTCATGGAAAGTCATTAGAGTAAATCATTAGAACGTATATACATTATCACTGTTGGATGCATGATACATATATAAAATATAAAATTTAAATTTAAATTTTATATAGTTATCATTTATAAAAAATTGATCCTGTATAGCAAAGATTAATTCAAATCATTATAGCAGTTTTTCACATATTATCTATACCCCATAATTATTTACCAGAAAAAAAGAAGGAAAAAAAAAGAGGAAACGAAAAAGATAAAAGATACACTTATGTCTAAACTTTGCGAAATTGTATATTTCTAAAATCTCAAAATTTCTCGTTTCAATTACTATTTTCTGGAATTTTTGTAGAAAAAGTATATTGTAATAATATGATGGACATGAGATAAAATGTTAATTGAAAAGTATGTTTACGGAAAATATAAAATTTTTTTGAAAAAAAATTACAATCCAAACAATAGTTGGAATTTTTAAATAGGGAAACCACATAGAAATTTTTACATAGTCGGAATTTTTACATATATCTTTTTCTATAGTTGGAATTTTTTCATAGATAAATTATACTACTACAATGTATTATCCTATAGGTTTTTACACGATAGAATTATAAGTTATAGAGATTTTCTTTTAACGTCTAAGCGTCTTTGATTACACTGAGTTGCAACTTGCAAAGAATGGAAAATGGAATGCAAATTTATATTACTTCCTTCATACATACTCTATTTTAAATTTATATTAAAGAAAAAATGAACAATTATGGATACAAGTTACTAGTATTTTTTTTTTAATTAAGATTTTAGAAGTTCTTAAAAATAGATCCACTCATATTGCATGCATGTTGATCATCAACAATGGAAAAAACCAGAAGAAAATCATGAGAGATAATCTCTGACCATGCCTTGGGTCTAGATTTTTTCTATAATGATTTGAGTATCTTCTTATAACATCCTCTTCTTCCCTTGACAACCAATTTTTCACAAAAATGGAAATTTTAGCAGCTCAATCAAGAAAGTCATTGTGTAAGAAACAACCCCAGAGGATTTATGGCCAATGAATCGCTTCCAATCTGGGAAACAAAGAACATGATCAGGTCCACTCCCCTCAAATCTTGTTGGATCAAACTCCTCAGGATCAGGAAAATACTTGGGATTTTTGTGAGTTGTGTTTACGTTCCAAGATACCTACCAAAATTATTGGTAGCAGTCTTATAACTATTAGAATTGATCAGGAGAAGATCAATTAAAAGGTATGGATAATATTTTTCATTCAAGTGCTTTGCTTGAGACATTATTGTGGTTTGGAATTTATGCACAAAGTTTTATTTGCGTGTGGCATATTATACCTTCCACCCTTTTGGGATAGTGAAACCAGAAAGTGTGAAATCTGCCATTGATACTCTAAAAGCTCCTTGAGTAAGTGGTGTTACACGAAGTATTTCATCTTCTCAATATCCTCACAATTTAGCAACTCATCAGGACTTTTTGTATTTGCAATAGCCATCATTTCTATGACCAGCAATCAGTATAAATTACCGAGTTAATGATGGAAGATCTATAATGTTAGTTTAACATGATAAAAAATGAAATTCATTTAGTTACCTTTGACGACTTCATCATAAATATGGGGAAGCTCAGCAAGGTGTTTCAAGACAAAAGTGACTGCATTGCTTGCATGGTTCGCCATCGCGGGTCGCGGTCTCGGTTGTTTCACATCCGTCGCGGCATATTGGTTGAATATCGGGTGATACGTACGTTATAACACATGAAAATTTGATAAAATTTTGAAAAAATTACTAAAATTAGAAAATACCAAAAAAGACACAATTTAAAAAAAAATCTTAGTCAACTCGGAGTTGACTCGGATATATTGGCCGATATCATGCATCACGGATTCAAATCGGCTAATATCGACCGAGTCAAATCGAGTCATCACAGATACGGTAATATCCGCGATTCAGGGATTGGTATCATACCGATCCCCTCCGTTCCAGATATGGCGAACCATGATTGCTGGTTGATTCATACTTGGCCAACAACAAACCCATTATGTTGATTCCGATCTCTATTTCACTCATAAATTGGCCATCTTCGTCTGTATAAAGAAGCATTTGTGTCAAACTGTCTGGTTGGACTTCTTTTCCTTTATTCTTCATTAGCTCCTCCTTTCTCTCCCGCATGATCTTCACCAGCTGTTCACGCACCACTTTTGCAGCTTTGATTGCGCCCTTGAAAGCAAAGCCAGGCAAATTAATCGGCAATGATAGACGAAGTCCCTTGCTGACAATATCGAAAGGATCAGCCAACTTCTTAATTTTCTCTGCTTCTGCAATATTCATGAATATAAAACATGCCAAACTGAATGTGTACTTTTTCATCGGAGGCAGTACTTTGACCTCTTGATTTGGAGCCCATTCTTTTTCAATATGTTCGCGAGCAGTTTGATCGATGACGGGGATGTATTGCTTCAAAACTTCATGCTTGAGACTGTTATACTGAAATCTACGCCTTGGAGTGGATAATTTCCTTGAGCTATTCTCGAAAAATTCAGCAAATAATACCAATGATAGTGATTTAGGGAACCATGGGAATACAAGTTTGTTGTCATTTGTGAAGATGAACTTGTTCCCTTCTGCACCACAAAACATTGCCATTTGTTCTCCCCATAATGAGGTTTCGAATACGTCTTCTCAGTACTTTTTTATGCGATTGTTTATGAATTTCTGGGGGCCTAACAATCTAAATTCTAGACTCTCTCCCAGCAATAGCCATCCGGATGTTCCAGGTGGAAGTTTCACCTTGTTGGAGCAACCCTTCATTAGGAAAAAAAGGAAGATACACAGCAATAGAGGAACGAGAACAAAAGGCAAAAGGATGAAGGCCTCCATTAATTGGAATGATCAAGCAAGTACTGATTTATGGCCAATGAATCGCTTCCAATCTGAGAAACAAAGAACATAATCAGGTAATATGGTACGTACTTTTGACGGGAGGAAATTATCATTTAATTACTCGTAGAATAGGGTTAAAAGAAAGTAAACTACTTAATGTGAGACAAGAATATACATATATACATTACCTAATGCAATTCCATTAACTTGACCAATGAAGATACAAAATAAGTTTTTTTTTTTTGTTGATTTGCACATACATAGTTTGAAATATATACTTTACTAAACAACTCATTAGATACTTGGAGATTAATTTCCATGAGGTTGGAGGCGAAGTGGGAGATCATTCACAGGAACAAAACTTGCACGATGTGCTATCTTTTCATTTGGGATAGCCTTTTCCAGCTTGAATCTCTTCACCACATTATACATGAAAACAAGCGTCTCCATCTTAGCATATTCCCTTCCGGGCAAATTCTTGGTCCTCCTCCAAAGGGCACGAATGTGTATGGTGCAGGTCCGCTCCCCTCAAATCTTGTTGGGTCAAATTTCTCAGGATCGGGGAAATACTTGGGATTCTTGTGTATTGTGTTTACATTCCAAAATATCTGCCAAAATTACTATTCAATCTAGTCAATCAGGAGGAAAAAGAATTTGAAGGCATGGATAATATATTTCATGCAAAGTGCTTTACGTGAGAAATTGATACTATTCAAGATTTCCTGCATAATGTTTTATCCAGGTTTCTTACTCTACCTTCCACCCTTTCGGGATGGTGAAACCTGCATAAGTGAAATCCACCAATGATTCTCTAAAAGCTCCTTGATTAGGTGGTGTTACACCAAAAGATTCACGGGCAACATTCCAGGAGTACTTCATCTTCTCAATATCCTCCCAATTTAGCAACTCATCAGGACCTTTTGTCTTTGCAATTGCCATCATTTCTATGATGAACAATCAATATACACCATAGATATATTGATTCGTCTGAACTACTTTGATGAAATCAGTTTTCTTGCCTTTGAAGACTTCATCATAGATACGGGGAAGCTCAGCAAGGTGTATCAAGAAAAAATTAACTGCATTACTGGTTGATACGTAGCTGGCCAGCAATAGAGATATTATGTTGTTTTCAATCTCCATTTCACTCATGAACTGGCCATCTTCATCTGTAAAAAGAAGCATTTGCGTCAAACTGTCTCGTTTTTCTGTTGCCTCTTTGTTCTCCATTACCTCCCCCTTTCTTTGCCTAATGATTTTCATCACTTCTTTGCGCAACGCTTTCCCTGCTTTGATTGCACCATTGTAAGCAAAGCCAGGCAAATCAATTGGCAAAGATAGAAGTCTCTAGCTAACAAGATCGAAAGGATCAGCCAACTTCCTTATTTGCTCTTCATCTTGAATAGTCAGATGCCAAACTGAAGGTGAACTTTTTCAGTAGAGGGAAAACTTTAACTCCTTGATTTGGAGCCCAGTGTTTTTCAACATGTTTGCGAGCAGCTTGATCCATGACGGGGATGCAGCTTATGTTTCCCAAAAGAAGAAATTGATAAAGGACAAAATTTTAGAACTAAACACGTATTAATCATGGAAAGATTTAAAGAAGACCAAGAAGTATTCCAAATCTACTCCAAAAACACATATAGAAAAGAACAGAATGAAGATGCTTTACAAAAGTAGCGGCCCGTGACAAAATGGCAAAATCATAATTACAGGATGGCCCATGCAGGTCTCGAACCTGCGACCTTCGCGTTATTAGCACGACGCTCTAACCAACTGAGCTAATAGGCCATTGTGAAAGGAAGAGCATGAAGACCTTTAGAAAAGTAGTGGACCCCGGACAGAATGGCAAAATCAAAAGCACACGATGGCCCATGCAGGTCTCGAACCTGCGACCTTCGCGTTATTAGCACGACGCTCTAACCAACTGAGCTAATAGGCCATTGTGAAACTTTTCAGAAATTTAACTACTGATCATAAAATTTCTGTTGTTTAGGAATCAAGGGTTATCTAAGGGTTTTTGTACTCTAACTTGACTAGACATCTGGCAAGTCGACGGCTAAGAGAGAGCAAGAGTGGGTGAAGAAATGGCGAGATCGTCGACGGCGAAGGACGCTCAGGCTCTTATCCAATCTCTCCGATCTGCTTATGCCGCCACTCCGACCAATCTCAAGGTCAATCCACCTCTCTTACTATCTCGATTTCTTTGCAAATTAATCAATGCAGCGGAGCAGTTTTTGAAATCCTAACGAAATTTCCTTTGTTTCTCTCAGATCATCGATCTTTATATCATTTTTGCCGTCTCCACTGCCCTAATTCAGGTGCTTCATTCAAATTCTTATGTCTATAACTTCTCAATATGTGGAGTGAACTTGTAGATTCCGTTGACCTGTATATTTTTTTTTGGACTGTCTGTATGTGACTCGATTGGCCGAGGAACTTGATGGAATTAATATGTGATGTTTGAGATGAAATTCTACTTGTTTGATTGCTTGAAGCTTTTGTTTTCCTGCAAAATATGGCATTTTGAACTGTTTTATTTGAATTTTATGTTATTTGATTAATTCAATCTGTTTGAGTGTTCCTGTGGCATAATTAGGAATAAATGCTGTTTCGTATGACAGTTCGATGATCATTTCGAACTTGTGGATATTCGAATGTTTAAATGTGTCCTAGGAATTTAAGCTTCCACAGTAGACCTTAGTGGTGTGGCATAGTTGGAGCAATCGGTTCAATATAGGCTTTAATTGAGTATGCAGATTCTACCATATTATAGAATTGTTGCTTAAGCTTGGGAATGTAAAGGAAGTGGGGATAGCATTGTTGTAGATAAAGTTTAAGGAATGCAGTTTGTACATTTGTGGAGTTGAGGGATGAAAATTGTATTTCATATGTGAACTCTGCTATATGTGAGCAAAATGTACATTGATTCTTAAGGCATTAAAGATTGTTGAATGTGCATGTCGAATATTATTGGTTGCTGAAGGTTAAGGTCAAAAGATGTAGGTAACTAATAGCAACTGTATATGGTCTGTTACAGAATTATTGTATTTATTCCAGCTTTGATTGGAGAAGAGGCAAATGGAGTGGATGGGGTCTGTGGATAAGAGTTGAGTTTTACCTTCTAGTCCATTGCAAAGGGATGTATAATGGATCTGAATTGCGTCCAGTATTCCATGACATGTAATAACTCTATATTGGTACTAAAGGCCCTGTGTGAGGCCCTGACAAAGGAAGGTTGTGTTTAAGAGTTGGTGTGCGAAGAGGGATTAAAATTTTTAGGTTTCCTGATTTCAGCAGGCCAACATGTTCGATAGTCCCTCTTAAAGTTAATCTATTAGATTTTGGTTGATTTGGGGATACAGCCATCACTGCAATGGTGGCCTCAAAGATGGAGTATGTGATTATTGTAAAGAACTTTGGACATTTTATAGAAATGGGCAAAAAATGAGTCTATCTTTGGATTTAAAAAACTCACATGCTGGAGTAGTTGGGAAAACCTAACTGGCACATATTATGTGTTTCTCCACATTGTGGTATCCTCATGGCTTGACAAGTAAAGTCTATATAAGTTCCATCTGAACTAGAGTTGCTTCTCTGTATATTCACTAGCATTCTTCAAGATTTTCAGCCAACACCAATGATTAAAAATTGTTAGTTTGGTGGTTGAGGAAATGTATTTAAACTTTATCATAGGTGCTTGTGTGAGTATTTAGGCCAAAATGTTTTTAACATTTCATTATGCTTTGGATGATAATCAGGTAGTGTACATGGCTCTTGTTGGATCATTTCCCTTCAACTCATTCCTCTCAGGAGTCCTTTCTTGCGTTGGAACTGCAGTTCTTGCTGGTAAGCATAATTGGGGATTTTTATATTATCTGCATGTAATTATTATTATACGAAAGTCTAAGGTTTGCAACTTAGTATTGTTTGTCAAGTTTTAACTTGTTATTATTGCTGATTTGCTGGTCTGCAGTTTGCCTTCGCATCCAAGTAAACAAAGAAAATAAGGAATTTAAGGTAAGCATTTTTCGGTGCTGTGTATATGCTGTCATTGATCTCTGTTGTTTCATCAAGTAGAGTGTTCCAAATCTGTGGTGGCCATACTGAAAAGCTACACACACACACACAGGGTTGCGATTGGTAATATTTTACACCCACCTTGAACATGTATATATGGGATGACCTATTTTTCCCTGCTTACACGAAGATAATAGTTTAAGCTTATTTTGAGTGAAAAAAGGAGACAGATATAGAATTGGTATGAGAAATACCAATACCATTCATTGTTCATTATGATGAGAGTGCCAGTAGGATCAGATGTTCCTGTAACAAGTTTGGTAATTTGGATCTCATTAATTGACAATTGGCTATTACATTGCAGGATTTACCACCAGAGCGTGCTTTTGCAGATTTCGTTCTCTGTAACCTAGTACTTCATTTGGTGATCATGAATTTCCTTGGATAAGCTGGTGCCGTGCCCTTTGACTAGAAGTGACTGCGCCTGTTACAATTTTTGTTTGATATGTAATGTGACTATAATGCCTAATTACTGAACTGAGCAAGTAGGCATATGACATTCTAACTCCTCCATATTTTCATGAGTAAGTTCTTACTTGTTTTCCCAATTAAAAGGTATTTTTTGATAAGTAAGAACATTTTGTCCTAATAACACCACTCTTCAAACTTAAACTTACCGCATCCAACAATCTCCAAGGCTGCATGTTTTATTTTCCCAGCCATAGAACACAGTAAAGGTTTAAGGTTCAAGGAGAAAATTTAAAGTAACGGAGGAAATGACTAAGAGCGGTGCATTTCCTCGAGTGGCAACCGAATTTTTGGCTGCTAGGGAGAATGGTGCTTGAAAGGAAGAAATTGCTCTTGTTGTATGGAAGGTTTATTTTGAAATAAACATGATAGCAAGATTTTGTATCTTTTTCTTTGGTCCCTAATTGTATTTTGAAACTCCTAGAGGATGATTGTAGAGGCTTCAGTTTGCCTCATTCTGTAAACGCTACTTACTAATTAATCTATCTCTCTTTCTTAGCAACAAGAAAAAGAAAAAAGAAAAAAAAAAACTACGTCGTATTATGACCACAAAATCTACACCTAATTGAGAGTTTGAAGGCACGACATTGATGATATACAGGCTTTGGCCATCTGAGACACTTAGAAGGAAAAGATAGTGACATCCTATATGTTTGTATCCAGTTTGAAACATGATGTGGTTCAAGAAGGAATCGGAGAATATTTAAAGGTAGAGGCAGTAATTAAGACTTAAGAGCCACTGCAAAACAGAAAACTCAAACTCGGGAGCAGTCCCAAGACAGACTGACATTTCACTGCAGCTAATTTGAGAGACAAGCAGTCTGAGACAGAAAGCAAACTGAGGTCCATAATCAGTGAATTACTACCACATATCATGACCACAAAAGCTACAGCTGATTGACAGTTTGAAGGCACCACATTCACAACGTAGATCTCAGGCTTTGGCTATCTCAGACACTTAAGAAGCAAAAGAGAGTGCCACCCTATATGTTTGTCTCCCGTTAGAGACATGGTGTTGTTCGAGAATGAATCAGAGGATGTTCATAGGTAGAGGCAGTAATTAAGGGCCATTGAGGTCTCCGATGAGCTTTCAGCCTAATACCACTGCAAACCAGAAAAACTTGGAACAATGTATAGAAGATCAAAAAGGTAACAAGAAATTCCACATAATTGCATGACATTTCTGTTCAACAAAATCTTACAGAAAGCTGAAGAAATGTTTTTGTCATTGTTTCCTAACCTAAATTAGTAAGCAGATATGAAATCTTTCTGCTCAGTCTACAGATAGTAGTATTTTCATAAAACTATGACACTGCAGTAGGGCTTAAACTTTAGACTTAAATTTTGGTAAAGGATAATCTACCAAGTCTCTGCAGCTTCATGGCAAGAGCAATACTATTTTCCTTGGCAACCTCAACAAATGACTTGAGGTGAAGTGAAGTTGATATATTTTCAAAAACTCTCACTGCCTGTTCTCCAGTTGAGATCCTCCAAGGTAACGAACCTAAGTATTTTTGTCTACTAAACCAGTCTCCAAGTTAATGACTAGTAGACATTGATTTGGCAAGGTCATGCAGTAGATCTTGCATCTTATAACATGTTTGCAAATAAGCTCTTGTTTCTTCCAACAAAGAACCCTGCAATAAATTTCTCAAATAATTCATTCCAATTTTCTCAATCGCTGTTTCATTTTTTGAGATCTGGTTGAAGGAAACCTTCTGCCGTCCAAAGTTCAAGTATCCTCAGGAAATGTAGAACAATATGCAAAACATTTCTTGATGGATGAAAATTTGTAAATAATCAAAATTCAAGTATTTGCATCAGACCATCTTCATCTTCACTCAAATTCAAAAGCCTATTCTCCAAAATTGATCGCCAATCCTCTTTTCTCTTTATTCGTAACAGACCTCCAATTTCACACTTGCAGCCAATGGTAGACCGTGACATCTTCTTATAAGTCTG